CCCCCCCCCCCTCACACACAAACCCTGCCCTCCCCCCTCCCCCTCCCTCCCCCACCCCCAGCAAAACCTTTAGATTAATTAAGGAATGGTTATTTAACAAGAGGATCAAACTGCCCACGGCTTTGGAGATGCAGGGCTGGGTGTCCTGGAGGTGTGCAGGTGAACTCCCTTGATCCTGGCATCCAGGGGAGGGAGGATCCTGCCTGGCTTAAGACACTTTCCTTCCTTCAGGCTCCAGTTCAGGGTCAGGCTCTGAGTGGGGTCGTTTTCCAACCAAGAAGCAGCTCAAAATGGTTTGTTTGTGGTTTGTTTTTGTTTTTTTTTTTGTCGCGTTTTGTGGTTTTTTTTTTCTTTTTTTTTTTCTCTCTCGTTTTAATGAATAATTCGGAATAGGAAAGTCAGAGGAGATGAGGGAGGGAGGGAGATGAGGTGGGAGAGGACGTTTCTCCCCCTTTCCTCCAGTTTAATAAGCACCAGAGTATTCAAGTGTGTCCGTCGGGATGCGGAGCCACGTCAGCAGGCAGAGACTAAACCTTTCTCGTAAGAGCAGCGTCGTTTGGGTTGGGGTCCCTCGTCGTCATCATCCTCTTCCTCGTCCTCCTCCTCCTCTTCCTCGGAGGATGAGCTGTCCAGTGTTAAATCCACGACATCCGCGGGGGCTTTGCCGTTCTCGCCGTTGCCGGCGGGGGGGGGAAGGAGCCCGTTCACATCCGAGGAGCCTGGAGAGGGTGGGGGGAGAGAGGAGGGAGTGAAACACGGGGCAGGGGATGATCCAACGCTCCTGGATGGTCAGCATGGAGGAGGGAAGGCTCCAGGGAAACCTGAGAGCCCCTTCCAGGGCCGAAAGGGGCTCCAGGAGAGCTGGAGAGGGACTTAGGACAAGGGATGGAGGGAGAGGACACAGGGAATGGCTTCAAAGTGAAAGAGGGGAAATTTGGGTGGGATATCGGGAAGGAATTCCTCCCTGTGAGGATGAGGAGGGCCTGGAATGGAATTCCCAGAGAAGCTGTGGCTGCTCCATCCCTGGAAGTGTCCAAGGCCAGGATGGAGAAGAAAAGATTCCAAGGAGACCTTAAACCCCTTCCAGGGCCTGAAGGGGCTCCAGAAGAGCTGGAGAGGGACTTGGGACAAGGGCTGGAGGGACAGGACACAGGGAATGGCTTCCCACTGCCAGAGGGCAGGTGGGATATTGGGAAGGAATTATTCCCTGGGAAGGTGGTGAGGCACTGAAATGGATTTTCCAGAGAAGTTGTGGCTGCCCCATCCCTGGAAGTGTCCAAGGCCAGGTTGGAGCAACCTGGGATAGTGAGAAGTGTCCCTGCCCATGGCAGGGGGTGGCACTGGATGGGCTGGAAAGTCCCTTCCAACCCAAATCATTCCGGAATTCTGTGATTTCCTACAGGGATTTCAAGCCTTTATCCCCATGGAGACTCACCTAGAACTAAGATTGGGCACTGGGGGCTGCAGCTCCTCTCCTTCTCAGCTCGGATGGGACACCAGGAGCCGTCCACCAGGTACTCGATCTCATCCGCGTCTTCACATTCCATCAGGATCTTGGAGAGGAGCCTGCACGGGACACAGGAGGAGCTGTCACACCCCAGACAACCAGCACAGTGTCTTCAGTGACCCTGCATCTTCCACCTTCACCAGCCCTACATTTCAAGGGAATGTGGTGCTGGCAGAAGGCTCCCGAGCTGGGAGCCCTTGGGAGTCGTGGAATTTATTCCCATAAAACCAGGGCCGGTTCTGAAACCGTCCCAGTCCTCCCTGACTGGGAGCACCCAAACCATCAAGCACCACCTTAATTAGGTGCAATTAAAGACAGTTTTGCCTCTTCACCCAGTTTCCCAGGTACTGCTTCCAGGCAGAGCCTGCTGTCCCATCCCAGGGACATTCCTGGCATTAGCAGAAGGTGAAATATCCTGTCACACTGGGAAATCAGCAATCCAACAAGCAGCACCTCGTTTCCTTCTCAGTTTTATTTCCCAAATCTCCACAGTTGCCACCAAAACAACATATGGAGCCTCCCTGCAACAGGAAAACCATGTTCAGGACTGGAATTACACCTGGAGTGGATCCCTCGAGGTCAGGCCTTGCAGGGATCCAACTGGAATGAGGCCCTGAGTCCAGAGAAACAGGGGGTTTGCTTTATTCCCTGTGTCCCACTGTTTGCCTGGGATGCTTATTTGGAACTGCAAGGCCTCATTCCCTCCTGGACTCGAGCATTTCCCTTCAAGGAGAAGGGAAAATTCGTAGCAAAAAACTTACAAGCTCAGGAGAAACTTTAGGCCCTGTCAGGGAGAGAGTTTCGGCTTTGCCCAGCTCCTGCAGGAATTGTCTCCATGGACAATCCCATCATCCAGCAGAGCAACCACCAAGCTGCACTTCCCAAAAAGCTGACAAGGCCCCAAGGATCCCAGACCTGACCAACCACCTCCCTCCTCGGGAGCCTCCGGCTCTTCCCTGACTCACAGTGCCAGGTTCCCTCAGCCACTTCCAGGGAATCTGAAACAACCTTCATCCAACAGAACCGGCACCAAAACTCATCCCTGAGCAGTGCAGAGCAGGGATTAAAGGCTGCTGAGCCTTCCCCTGTGACACCCTCCTCCTCCTCCTCCTCCTCCTCCTCCTCCTCCTCACCCAGGACACGAGGGGCTTCCACAGCCCAACCCCTCCTACCTTCCCCTTGTTAGGGATCTCCAAGGAACTGGATTTTCCTGTTGGGGTTGGCCAGAGGACAAAGCAAACAGGTTATCTGTGCTGAGGCTGCTCCAGCCTCCAGACTGCCTGGAAAGCCACAGCTCCTGGATCAAACGAGGAGCCACAAACGCGGCGACGCTCCGAGAACCGTCGGCCCGGCCCTGGGAACAGACTCGTGTGCCAAGGGAGCTGGATGCACCCCAAAAACCACTCTAAACCCTCCCTACTTTTGAGGGAACCTGCATCAGAGGCCAATTCCACGAGCCATGAGGGTGGAGCTGGTTTTCCAGAAGGCAGGAACCACGTGTCTGGCTCCAGCAGTCCTGGGGGTGGCTCGGGGCTTGGCCAGCACCACGACAGTGCTGGTGGTCCCAGCCCCAGAATTTTGGGGCAACAAAGCTGCTTCCAAACCCACCCCAAAAGTGCTGCACCAAAGGTCTGGTCCCTCCCAGCACATCCCACACCCCA